TCTTCCGAGTCTGTCTTAGTCTGGAAGCTCTGCTGAAACTGTCTGCCAGGGGTGATCCTATTTGGATATTGGTGGCATAGCCTCCAGCCTCACAGCAACATGCAAGCCACCACAGTCTGACAAACTGACAGACAAGCTTGAATTTCTAGAAGTTCCCTGTCAATATACTGCTACAACTGTTTTTGAATTATCATCAGCAACATTTTAGTTGTGTGTGTGACATTAATATTGTTCGATAATTTTCCCATATTGGAATTAGTGTTTTTAAAAAAGAAAAACTGTGAACAATGAAAGTAAAACGGAATTCTGATCCTACTGTAGACTGATGCCCTAGGAGCTCTGGTGGCATAGTGGTTAAAGCATTTGGCTGCTAAGTTAAAAGTCACGTTCAAACATACCAGCCACTCCATGGGAGAAAGATGAGGCCAGCTGCTTCTGCAAAGATTTACAGATTTGGAAACCCTCTGTGGCAGTTCTACTCTGTCCTGTAGGGGAGCTGGGAATCGGAATTAGCTAGATGGCAGTGGGATTGGTTTGGGCTTTGCTTCCGTAAAGATTGCCAGCTTTGGGAACCCTGTGGGGTGGTTCAACTCTGTCCTCTAGGGGCGCTGTGAGCCAGAATTGACTTCATGGCAGCAGGTGTCAGTTTCATGGGTTTCTGAGTTTTTCCTCCCCTGGCCTTTGCTCTGCTGGGTCCTCTGAAGTTGAGAGCTCAGTGGACCAGGTGCAGCTCGGAGTTCTAGAACCTTTCCTGGGGAAATTACTGACTGGCTTGGGAATCCTGTAAGCCATGGATGTGGAAGATAACTGGCTTCTCAAAGGACCTGTCCATCCATTCTTCCTGATGCTTCAACATGCGGATTCACCATATAGTTGCATTTACTTAAAAAACAAAACAAAACAAAACAACAGCTGCATGACTGTGTCTTTGTCCTGAAAAATTATTTACACATTCATTGTGAACTGGAGTGTCATCCCACCAGCCATCTGTTAGCGTGTTTTTCTGTGGTGGCTTGCGTGTGGCTGTGATGCTGGAAGCCATGCCCCCGGTATTTCAAATCCCAGCAGGGCCACCCATGGTGGGCAGGTTCCAGTGGCGCTTCTAGACCAAGACAGAGCTGGTGATCTCCCTCCAAGGGTTAGCCAACAAAAGCCTGTGAACCACAACAGGACGCTGTCCGATCACTTGCTTTGCACACGTCACCAGGAGGGCTCACTCGCTGGGGAGGGCATTGTGTCTGGTGAAGCTGAGGGCCAGCAAGGGCGAGGGAGAGCCTTGTGAGAGGCATTGGCACAGCAGTCACAGTGACGGGCTCCCACCTGCCAGTAGCCGTGAGGATGATACAGGTCAGGACGACGTTTTGTTCTGTTGTCGTGAGTCGGGTCGCCGTGAGTCTGATTCCACGCAGCTTTCTTCAGTTTCTTCATCTAAGCACGTTTCCACACTGTGTGGGTTTGTCACGCTAGCCATTCTTTGTTGTAGTCCCGTCATTTGAAAGCTGCTGTGTCTCGGGGACAGGGCTCTCCCTGGCTCAGTGCCTCAGATAATCCGTAGCAGACGCTGCACTGTGGACACACACCAGACACTTTACAATTCTTAGACACCTACTATGTGCCAGGTACTTTGTGTGTTAAGTTTTACTATCTCAACCTACAAAATCAGCACACTGTTGATGTTAGCTGCCATCGAGTCAGTCCCCAACCACAGTGAGCATGCACAATGGGAACCAATCCCACTGTGACCCACAGGGTTTTCACTGTCTTGATTTTTCAGTAGATCTCCAGGCCTTTCTTCCTTGTCTTAGTGTGGACGTGCCACTGAAACCTCTTCAGCATCGTAGCCACACTTGAAGTGCATGGGCTGGGATTTGAACTCAGATCTCCTGCATGGAAACTTAAGAATCCTACCCCTGAACCACCGCTACCCTCAGTACAAATTCAGTGTAATAGAAAAGATAGTTGACGTGCAGAGCGGCCAAATAACCTGTGCAGGGCCGTTGGCTAGTCGAATACAGAGCTAAAATTTAATCTCAGGTCTGATTCTGGCCCACGCCGTTTTACCTTACACTGCCTCCCTTGTGCCACCCCCGCCCCCACGTCAACACGCCGTACTGTGCTGGCTTGCATGTCGCTGTGATGCAGGAAGTTACTAGTGTTTCAAATACCCTCATGGTCACGCATGGTGGACGGGTTTCAGCAGAGCTTCCAGATGCAGACTGACTAGGAAGGCCTGGTGACCAGCTTCCAAAATTCAGCCCACGAAATCTCTGTGGATCCCTGAAAAACCTGCCTGGTATGGTGCTGGACGATGGGGCCCTTAGGTCAGCAAGCACTCCATAGACAAAGAGGTCGCAGGAATGGACACAAGCTTACCACTCAAGGATCATGAGAATGGGCAGGACCAGGTGCTCTGTTCTGTGGGACAGAGTCACCCCAACTTGGAGCTTACTCGATGGCATTTAACAGGCTTCCTCACATAAAGACCAACCCTTTTGCCAACATCCAGGTCACTGAATAGAGAACAGGGATTTACTACACAGAAAACAGCCTCTTGCCCACGTGTGACTTAGGATTCCACGCAAAGCTATGCTTTCTGTAGCCAGTAAATGAGAAAAAGAACATGCACCCCTGGCTCGTCAAGTAGCAAAGATGTTTAGAAGCCATTTCTTGGAAGCTTAGTTGGAAGAAGGGGCAAAGCCTGAACACATTCTGAGATCCAATAACCCCGAAGTCCTGGTGAATTACAGAATCTGTCCTTGTTTTCCTTACCTGGGAATAGTATTTGATCCCCGCTTTCCCTCCTCAAGGGAGTACGTTACCATTTTAACAGTGCCACTGTGTCATGGCTGTGTGTGCGGGCATGAAGCCAGCACTATACAATCACCCACTCTGTGCTGCAGTGCGGGTTCATCACTGAGATAAAAAGCCTCGTAGCAGGTAGGCAGGGGCATGGGAGGGAGGTGGGATGAGGAGACGCCACAAATGGCATTTGCTGATGGCAATGAATTGGATACAGTCACAGAGCTCTTGAAACTTCTTATTCGACAGCAACGCTGACACAGCAAGCAAGCAGTCTGCCCTGAGCCGGCTTTTCTCTTCATTCCTAGAAATTGCTTTTTGGAAAAGAAAGGCAATTGCAGGCTAGTGAAATTATCAAATGCAGTTGGGTGAAAGGGAGCTGGTCAGCTCGGGCTATAACTTTTAACAGCAAAGATAAGATGCTGAGGATACGTGAACTTGGCCGTAAAGAGAAATGGTCTTGCTGCCACACCACGAGTGAACTTCAATAACATCATGCTGAGTGCAGAAAGACCTGGCAATTGATTGGCTTCTGAAAAGTCAGCCACTGAAAACCCAACGGGGCCTGGTTCCACTCTGACCCTTGGTGGGATCGTCATGAGCCAGAATCAACTCGAGAGTAACTGGTAGGAATGGGGCTGGTGTTAGTTTCCTGGAATGCCTTTTAAAATGGCCACCAACTGAGTAGCTTAAAACAAACTGATCCTCTCAGTCTGGAGGCTGAGTCTGAAGTCAAGTGGCTCTCATGCTCCTCGAGGCTCCAGGGGAGGACCCCTCCTTGCTTCTTCCTAGCTTCCAGGGGTTGCGAGCAATCCTTGGTTTGTAGACCTACCAGTCCAAGTGCTGTACCCACCTTCACACGGTGCTGTGTGTTTGTGCGTGCGCACGGCTCCTCCCCTTCCTCTCCTAAAACAAGTTGTTGACTGAAGTTGACTCCTGCTCACCACACCCGTGTGTCAGAGAACTGTGCTCCACAGGGTCTGCAGTGGTGGATTTTCCAGAAGTAGACCACCAGGCCTTCCAAGGTTCCTCTGAGTGGACTCAAACCTTCAACCTTTTGGTTAGCATCGGTGGTAGTTAAAGTTGTAGTTAAAGTTGTGGGTCATCCTGGCTGGGCCTGGTTGAGTGGCTGGGCAGCTGGATGGAGTTATTCCCCATGACGAGGCTGGTAATCAGCTCCATGGTGTAATCTGCCGTGAGCAGTGGAACAGCTGCTTTAGGGGTGTGGGCTGCTTCCAGGATATAAGCAGCTTTAGGAATAGTCTACAGCTTTTGGCATGCTTGAATCATGCATGTAGCCAAGTCATTGTTTGGCAGCCTGCCATGTTGTCTGCCGACCTTGGTCCCTAATGGACTTGAATCAATGGCCTGCCATGTGGTTTGGCAATACTGGGACCATGCATTTGTATATATCGACCTTTGGTTTGTCAGCCCCTGCAGCCAGCAGCTGCCTGAGTTAAGCCAAGCCTCCAGCTCCAGGGGGCCAGGAGCAAGAGGCAGAGCTGAAGGCCAAGGTCGAGGGGCCTTCACCCAGCCCCTAGAGGTGGCTCTGTGAACTCAGACTTCCAGCCTCCTAAACTGTAAGGGAATAATCTCCACCCACTTGTATTTCTTTAGAGCAGCACTGGAGAACCAAGACAGCAACACAGCGTTTACCTGTTTGCACCACCCAGGGCTCCCTCCAAAATCTAGTCACCAACCATCTGGACGTGACTGTGAGACGAGTGTGATGGACTTAAAGTGTTACAGGAAACCGCCCTGAGAGAGCGCCGCCTGCTGGCAGCTGAGACCATGACACACCACAGTATTGCTTCACCCTTGCCCCGGTGACGTTCTGCACTCACGCAGTCCTCAAATGCACAAAAAATAAACCCACATTGAGAGCGTATGAAACAATGAGGTTAAAAAAGGAGACTTTCTAGTCTGGCCAAAGGACAAAAGGCGTTGTTACTGGTCTCTGCGCTGCAATTTTCCTAATTTTCCACATGAAGTATAGTAAATTTTACCAGCACAAATTTCGAATTGTGGACAAGAATATATTTTATTCTCTCATAAAAGTTCTACCAAAAATATATATTTTCTTTAACTTAAAAATACAGCTTTGGAGAGCAAACCGTCAGCTGTCAGAATTCGTTACGTGTTTTATAAACAGTGGAAGGAATTGTTGCTGATGGAAGGGACTCCTTTAGAATCACGAACATTCACTTCAGGAGCTTGACTTTGTCCTTCAGCAGCTTGAAGGTGGGGTTCTTACTGATCTTCTTGTTGAAAATGGCCAGGAGCTCCTCCTCAGATCTGTGCTGCTCGGTGGCCACTGCGTAATACTGAGCTAAAACCTGCACCAAGACAGCAAACGGCACAACAAACGTCAAATGGGCGCACGTCCTTTCCCCAACCCAGGAGTGGGCAAAGGTAAAAAGTGAAAGACTGAAAATAGGAAACAGGAAGCAAAAATAACCAAAGACACCCAGGCGCTCGTTACCCAGGGCACCCTGCTCATGCCAGGTCACTCAGCTGTGCCGATGGGGGCACTTTTCCCCATGGACGTCACAAAGAGAAAACATGTCAAAAAAACAAGACAGACAAGAAAGCACTGCTCTGGGGTGAGCAGAAGCCAGCCAGCCATCTAGAGCAGCAGCTTTCAAGCTTAGTAAGTGATGAAACGGAAGCCTTTCTGCAAACAAAATAGTACAGCCAAGTCCAGAGTGCTGGGACCGCCCCGCTGAAGGAGTGTGATGGGATTTCGTCCAATTCTCCCCTCACAGGCCGAGGGGCTACTGGGAGCAGTTTGAAAAATCACTGAGACATCCCCCATACTTTCACACCCACACGTACACTGTCACACACGTGTATACTCTCACACATACACTCACATCCATACACACACACACTTTCAAACATTCTCAGATCTCAGACACACACTCACACACCCATACACTTACCTATACACACACACATACTCTCTCATACAACGTCAGGTTTTAGAATCACTAGACGTTTCAAAGGGGAAGGCCCTCAATGAGATGGACTGACACAGCGGCTGCCACGAAGGGCTCAGGTATACCAAGGATCGTGAGGGTGGCCCAGGACCGGGCAGTGTTTGGTTCGGCTGTGCATAGGGTCACTGTGAGTCGGAGGCTGACTTGACAGCACCTAACAAGACATTTTAAACTTGGGGCCTGGGTCTCCCCAGTCACTGTACCTTTTTCTTTAGCTTCTTGACTGGCAGCTCGTTGTCTGGGGCCTGTTTCAGAACTGCTCTTATAGTTCCCTTCCAGTTGAATTTCCCTGTGATACAAAGAAAATGCCCAGTACATTGGTGTGGAGCATGACCAGGATGGTAAAGAGACCGTTTCTGCCCATCTGCTACCTGGAAATCAGCCTTGAAGAAACAGGGCATCGCTAACTGTCCAATCACAGAGGCCCAGAAACACTGACCACCCCCTTCAAAGCACTGGTGCTCGGAGTGTGCGGGTAAAATAACGCTCCTCTAAGCACCGTCACCCGACAGATTCCTGGGAAAGATGAGTAGCAGCTAATGAACTCAACCAAGACGTACCAAGCCTCCACTGAGATCACGGGTTGTTGAAACAGAGCGCAAGGTAAAGACAAGCTTCATCCCAAACACACGAGGAGACAACCACGAGGAACTACTACCCCAGAAAATCCAGCTGCCGCGGGGTCAACTCTGCTGGCCACCAGATGAGCGTCAGGGTCCACCTGTGCTCCACAGGGCTGCCAATGGCTGAGTGTACAGAGGGGTCCCCAAGCCCAGCCTCTGAGTGCCTCTGGGTGGACTCGCACCTCCAGCCTTTCATTGGGCAGCCAAGCGTGCTAAGCCTCTGCACCATCCCGGGGTTCACAGTGGGGTGAAAAAACCCAAAGAGGACTTTAGGTTTCTGGAGGATGAAGTAGAAGTGCTTTTCCCTGCTCCTCCTGTCAAGTGTAACAAACACTCTGGACGTTATGTGTGAAACAAACACAAACCGACTTTGAAAGGCAGAGGGAAGGAGGCCGATGAGCTAGAGACCTTGGAACCAGAAGAACAACATGGTAGAGGGCTCTGGGGTTTGCTTTCTGCCTCATCTATGTGACATGGGCCACTTTCTTGAGAAAACGTAACTACTGTAACACACTCAGTACGAGGCCATTTGAAAAGCCTATCACTGCTGGGGAAGACACATCTATCACTACACAGCTCTCCTGAGTAACCTACAGACCCCGACGGAGAATTCTACCACGTTTCAGCAGTCAGAGGCCTTAGGCACTACGCTACCTGAGCTCCTTATTTTATACAACACTCACTGCCCGCGAGTCGGATCCTACACCTAGCGACCCCTCCTTGGGTTTCCGAGCTGGTATCACTATGGAAGTAAATTGCCCAACCTTCCTTCCGAGGAGTGGCTGGTGGGGTTGAACCATCAGACTTCTGGATAGAAAACAGGTGGCTTAGGCAGTACCAGCCTTCTGGTTAGCAGTAAGATGCCTTAGGCACTATGCCACCAGAGCTCCTTATTTTATACAATAGCTTCAGAAAATGAAAGTAGGGACCACCTTCCAATTCAGCTTACGAAGCCGAGTGCACATAAAAAGAAAGCTACAGACCAATATTCCTCCTGCACACAGACACAAAAATCCTTAACAAAATATTAGCAAATACACAGAAAGAATTATACACTAGGACCAAGGGGGCTTTACGCCAGGGATTAGACTGCTTCACCATCTAAAGATCAATTGATGTAATGTACAATATTAATGACTAAAGAAAAAAAAAAAATCACAGTCTTATCAATATAGAAAAAGCACCTGACAAAATTCAACACATTTATGGTCAACTCATACAAAAAGAAGGAGTTCTGGTGGCACAGTGCCTAAATCATTTGACTGCTAACCAGAAGGTTGGCGGTTCAAACCTGCCAGCCACTCCATGGAAGAAAGAGGGGGCAATATACTTCCATAAAGATTTACCACCCGGAAACCCAAAGAGGGTCGCTATGAGTTGGAATCAACTCGATGGCAGTGAGTTTGGTTTTTCAGTCTTAGAAAAACTGGAACACAGGGAACTTGCTCCACCTGATAGAGTCTACGCAAAATGCCGGCAGCCACCATCATGTCTGGTGTTGAGTTCATGCTCCCGACTAGACCAGAGGAAGCAAGGACGTGGCTCAACGTGATGCTGAAGTTCTAGCCAGAGCAATATGGAAAACTCAAAAAACCAGGCCCACTGCCATTGAGTTGATTCCAACACATAGTGACCCCCAAAGGTTTTCCAAGGCTGCAAATCTTTATGAAAGCAGACTGCCTCATCTTCCTCCTGCAGAGCAACTGGTGGTTTAGAACCACCAACCTTCGGGTTAGTAGCTAAATGCTTTACCCACTGCACCACCAGAGTGTGTACAATATGGAAAGGGAGAAAGAAAACTCCCTACCTGCAGATGATTATGAGTAGACCCAAGAAATCTACCAAAAGATGATGAGCATGAGGGAGTCCAGCAAGGTTGCAGGATACAGGATAAACATAAAAATCAACTGTCCTACCACACACCAGCAAAACAGACCCACCACAGACACACAGTGGTTCTGACTGTCTGCAGGGGAGCAGGGCAGTTCAAGCAAAAAGAAATCCAGCTCAACCCTGGCAGGTACTGAGCCCCATTAACGAAGCCGCAGGGCCCATGTGAAGCGTCACTGGGTCTGTCCTTGACTGGCAGGACCTGGGGCGGGCGCTAGGGGTGGGGGCTGCCGCATTGCCCACCTGCCTCAGAGGGAAGACAACTTCAGGCTGTGAGAAGCAGGGGGAGCTGTGGACAAGATGGCATGTGAGAGGGGCCCTGAAGGACAGGGACCAATTCGGACAAGGATACTGTGGCTGAGGAAGGCAGTGGCCAGGAGCTCCTCCATCGAGGGACACCAGGAACAGACAGAGAGCAGGCAAGTCCCTGGGTCTCAGGGAACAAGGAGAGTGACTACAGGCAGGGCAGCCCAGCGGAGCGCCAGGTCTTGGATTATCACCCAGGTATAGTCTAAACTCCAACGACAGCAGACATTTCCAGTCAGGCTGCTCTTCCTAGCATTCTTGGAGGCATCATGAGATGTTGGGACAGGGACCCCACGGGCTCAACCCCACTCGGCACCTGGGGGAACTCGCTGTGTCCCCAGTGCTTTGAGGTGCCAGCATCGTGCTATTTGCCTCTGGCAGGTGTGACCGGGCCAGCAGCCCCCACACCACGCCCCCTTCCCCCAAAGGGGACAGCATTTCTGGGCCCTCCTCCAACCTGAAGAGGGCAGGGCTTCTACTGTGACGGTGGCCATACCTTTTCCAGAAGTGTCTGCGGATTCTCCACCCTCAGGATGTCCAGGAATCTTCATCTTTTTCTTCTTGGAATCAGCTTCATCTGAGTATTAGGATCAAAAACAGTTATGATCACAGCTTCCAGAGAATGAGGGCCTCCTGCAAGCCAGGCCCACTACCACACCACTGGGCACCCGGGTGTGGCAATGGGCCTGCAGAGAAGTCACCTGCCCCGGGCGGGCCGTGCCAGGGCCCAGGTAGGCCTGACCCCGAAGCTTGTGCTCGTTCCCTCACTTGGTCCACCGACCCCGACTCACGCTTTCCATTGTTGTAACAACCCCCGCGCACGAGCGAGCCACACACCTTCCGAGGGCGTCCGTTTTCGCTTCCCGGCGCCTGGTGCCGTCTCCTCCTGGGCAGGGTCTCCCTCCCAGGGCCCTTCCGAGGGGCGCGGGCCTTCGCCCTTCTTCTTTTTCTTCTTGCCTTTCTTCCCGGCCGTGCCGTTCGCCTCGGGGGTCTCCGCGTCGCCAGCCTCCAGCCCCTTTTTGCGCTTCTTAGGCTTCTGACTTCCGGAATTTTCCTGCTGGTTTTCTACTCTGAGCTCCTTCTTCTCCTTCTTCCTGCTCTTCTGCCGCTCTTCCTTCCTCTCTCTCTTACTCTTCTTCGCCTCTGTCCGCTTCTCCGGGGCTCCCTGTGTGCTGGAGGGTGGGGCCTTGGGGGACACCTCTGCGCACGGATTGGCTGCCTGGTTCAGTGGTTGTTTAGCTTGCCCCTCACAGACTGGCTCCTTATTACGAAGCAAAACCAAGAAACTCATAAACACTTAGTTCAGCCACAGCTGTTCACATCACCACGGGGATCTACTGAGTAAATGGTTCAAGAGAAATGGTTTCTCCACTTACCTTTATCTAACTGCAGCCTTCCTGACAACTACAACGTAGCAGGAAGTATACAAAATGGGGACAAACGCCCCTGTGCACGTGCGCGCACACACACACACACTCCTCTCTGCCTGTAAGATTTTCTCTTCCCACAGGAAAAGTGAAGATCTTCCTGTCAACTGAGCCATGACCTGGAATTTGGATTCCCTACCCGCCTTTCTTTCAGAGGATAGCAGCCCACTTAGGTGGGGAGAAACCACTGGACATAGGCCCTGCAGAGCTGGGTTCAAGTTCTTGCCCCATTAACTACCTGCCAGGGGACAGAGGGCAAGTTATTTATCTGCTCCGAACCTATTTCCTCACCTGTACAAAGAAAGGCAGCAACGCACCTCACAGTCAATGCCAGGACAACAGGAGAAGGGGCACCGTGTGCGCAGCACAGCGGACCCCAGCAAAGCAGCCCGAGGTGCTGGGGGGTTGCCAGCTATTAAGTCCTAGACAAAGGGGTGTGATCTTCACTATTTAGGTCCCCAGACGGCCAGGGACCCCATGGTGGGACATGGGAAGGAATGATGCTAAGAAACTTCAGGGACTTGCCATGCGCCCGCACAGGCAGGACACGCTCCCGCTTACTGCTGTTCTGTGGTGGGCGCTGGCGTCCAGCTGGCCCTGACTCATGGGACCTCATGCACAGCAGAGCGAGAGGTGGCCTGGTCCCGACTATCCCCATGACAGGGTATGGACTGGACCACTGGGCTCCAGGGGGGAATGACTGTGCAAACAGCCTGCCAGGCCTTTCCTCCTAGTCTCAGTCTGGACGCTCTTTAGAAACCTGGGTGGCATCAGGGCCGCATGCAAGCCTCTGCAATGGACAGGTGGTGGCGGCCTGCGAGGAGCACCGGCCAGGAACTGAACCTGGGTCTCCCCCATGGGAGGTGAGAACTCTACCCTGGAACCACCAGTGCCCTCAGTTACTGCCTTCCTTTAGGATCAGCACACAGATCCTACAAACGACCTCAGCAGAGCTCAGTCCCACTCTGCTGGAATCCTTACTCTAAATACGCTAGAGTGTTCCGTCACTCCCTTCCAAGGAACCCAGTGCCCGGGGCGGGCGGGGTCACTCCCTCAATCTCTCCCACTCCCTTGAGACTGGCGTTCCCTGAACACAGCGGGTGTACAGGACCTCTATTTAGGGCCAGCCTCACTCAGACGTGAATCCTCAGCCCTCACTGAAGGAGCAGTACCAGGCAAACGGGCCTCAGAGCACATGGCTGGCACTGTCTCAGCTCAGCTCAGAGACCCCAAGCAGGCAGGCACAGACGGCAAAGCCGAGGGTGTCAGAAAAGGACCAGGAGGGACAGGAAGGGGCAAAGGGACCTCAGGATTGTCCTACCATTTCATGCCTATCTTCAAATAAAATAATACTATAACCACTGCGAGGAGCCCTGGTGGCATGGTGGTTAAAGCACTCAAAAGCTAACCAAAAGGCTGGTGGTTCAAACCCACCAGCAGCTCTGTGGGACAAAGATGAGGCAGTCTGCTTTGTAAAGATTGCAGTCTGTGGGGCAATTCTATTCTGTCCTCTAGGGGCGCTATGAGTTGCAATCGACTCCATGGCAGTGGTGTGGTTTGGGCTTTCCTCCTGTAAAGATTGACAGACTTGGAGACCCTGTGGAGCAGCTCTTCTCTGTCCTTTAGGGGCGCTGTGGGTCCGAATTGACTCAGTGGCAATGGATTGTTTTGGTTTTAAGCACTAGGGCCACAAACCTTAGCCTCCCTTCCTCCCGAGGACCAAGCCCCCAGTTGGTGGCTGGTGTCCACTCCACTAAGAGGGAGGGAGAGGGGAAGAGAGGGAGGCACAGAAGCCAGTCAGTCAGTGAGGGAGCAAAGCCTTCTACCACCTCTATACCCTGCATTCCAGGCTCTGTGCAACGGTGGTGGCCTCAGGTGCCTTCCCTGGTGCTCCCACTACCAGAGCAGCCCCCCTACCCTCCATTACCTTCTCCTGCTTCTACTTCTTCACACCCCAGGCCACGACCTGACATTGTTTGTCTCCCCCACTAGGCTCCATGAAGGCAGGGCTCCCCAGCAACCAGGAGCTACAGGGGATGGCTATGGTCCGAGTAACAGTAGAGACAGGAAGCCTCCAGCTCAGGCCTGGCCCACACTCTGGGGGATGAGTATGTGTGGCTTCGAACCACAGACACAAGGGCTGTGCCGGGCAGAGCCACAGTGGGAACAGGCCACAAACCACATCTCACAGAGCTGAGGACCACGAGCCCTTGTGGATGGACTCACTGAACCCTTCCCACATTCACAGTGCTAAAGCAACCAGAAAAACTACCTTCTCTTTTAAATCTTGCAGTTGAACGAAGCAATTTCAAATCTTCAATTCTTTGTTAAATAATGGAAATGACCTTTAAAAACAGGTGCCACTTAAAGGCCAATGAAATGCCTGATTACAAGGTTTCCAAATTTGTGTATTTTCAGGGACAAATGTCTGCTGTATCACCACGCTGAAGTTTCATTTCCACCCTAATTTGCTGTTCAAACAATTTTCTCTACAGAAAGCAGATCTTCTACTGCCAATGACCAGAATAGTGAGTCAAAACGCAACGCTGAAAAGACTCACAAAAAAGACCCGAAATAACAAAACCAAAGCAAAGCCGCTGCTGTGGGGCTGGCCCTGACCCGTGGCGACTCCCTGTGTCAGAGCAGAACAGGGCCCCACAGTGTTTCCGCGGCTACTTTTCTGGAAGTAGATCACCAGGTCTCTCTTCCAGCCCACCTCTGGGTGCACTTGAACCTCCAACCTTCTGGTCAGCAGTCAAATGAGCTCCTCAACCTTTTCTACCGCCCAGACTCCCTAATGACACAAGTCTCCAAACAGGAGCAAGGGGAATGGAACTTCCGGGAGAGTTTCCCTAACAATGTAACCAACTATGGGGCAAAAAGAGCACACCTAGACTTTTTGTATGTGTACCTCATACTTCAATTTTTCTCACTATCAAACCACTCTGACGGACAGGCAGTTGGTTTCAATACCCCAAAGGCTTCTCTCTCCATCAGAGGACAGATGCTGCTGTTTGTCAAGTGCACACTCAGTGCTAGCTCCTAGAGCGGATGCTCAGAGCTTCCCCTGCTGTGACCCTTACCTGTCAACGTGCTCCACTGCTGATCAAAAGGCTGGAAGGTCAAGTCCGCCCAGTGGGGCCTCAGAGGAACGGCCTGGCAAAGTGCTTCTAAAAAAATCACCAACTGAAAACGCTGGAGCACAATTCTACTCTAACACACTCGGGGTCACCAGGAGTCAATATCAGCTTGTCGGCACCTGGCTTTCACGGTGTGGAGAGGCCTCCTTCACCCCTTCTCTGCAAGGGCACTCGCTGCCGCTCCCTCATCCTGCTGTCGCCCTGTCACAGCGCGTCTCCTCCTGGGATACGCCCCCGCTCAGGCCTGGCACCGAGCATGCCCTCAGTAAACACTGACTGTTGTTGCTGCTTGTTGCCATGGAAATCGATTTCGACTTACAGTGACCACATGTATGGAGTGGAACTACTCCGTAGGGTTTTCAAGGCTGTGACTTATTGGAAACAGTAAGACTGGCCAGGCCAGTCTCCAGGCCAGTCTCCAGGCCCGTCTCCAGGCCAGTCTCCAGGCCAGTCTCCCGCTGGGGGGGTTTGAACTGCCAACCTTTGCTAGCAGTTCAGTACTTAACCAATTGACCCAGCCAGCCTAAATACTGAATACATAAAGGAATAGCACTATCCACCTTTAAAGAAAAAGATGAGGAAACTCAGGCTCAGAGAGGTTAAATAACATGCCCGAGATCAAGTACCAGCACACAGCACACGGGGTCCTCACACCAGGTCTGTGAGGACCCCACGGTGCCTGTGTCCCCAGGACAGCCTGCTGCCTGGCGTCTGGGGCAGTCTTGACCCGCTCTCTGGAACCGAATCAGACGTCGGGGTTCAATACCTTTCTCTGCATAACAGGGAGCTTGTCTCTGCAGTGCTTTCAGCTTATTCCTTCCCAAACATGGAGCACAGAGAGGCTCTCTGAAAAAGAAGGCTGTCTTGACCTCCCACGCGAGGACACGCCGCCGCCCCAGCACTCCTCGTTCCTGCCACTCGACAAACCCAAGTGGGGTCTGACTTACGTTCCTGGCTGCTTCAGAAAAGATACTCCACGCCTGTTCCAGGACTGAGTCACTGTGGATTTTTAAACTGTTCTTCATCCAATTCTGTAAGGCACGATGACAAACGTCAAACCCCGCCCCCCCCTTCACAGCGGGCCTGCCCCGCCTCCAGGTGTGTGCCCTCCACTCGGCCAGGATAGCAAACACCTACCTGAAACTTCACCTTTTTCCTTGGAATGTTGTCGAAACCACTCATTTGCTCTAAAAGTTCCCTCACTTTGGGGCTGACGGTGGGTCTTTTCATCAATTCATTAATTTTCTATGACAAAGGAAGGAAAAACAGTAACAATAAGCAACAGGGCCTTGGGTTTCATGACAGCCACAGTGAAAAGCCCCCCAGTGTGGCTAGAAGGTCTCATTTCGTTTTCAAGCCTGGACTTTGTAATTCTGTCTGGGTTTAAAAATACACAGATTAACAATAAGACAGCTATCTCCCACCACTGTTTTGAGCAGAAGTTATTAAATCAAAGTAGGGTCACTGAGTTAAAATAGTTCCAGACAATAAAAATAACAACATCCAAAAAAACCCTAGCATTAAACCTTAAACCACAAATACGACCCCCAAAGTATTCTTAAAACCAAATAGTCTAGCTCAACTAGTGAAAAGGTCTGCCTTCAGCACTCTGTTCTTTTAAGAACTACCTGTTTGGGGAACAAAGTGACAAGAATGAGTTTAGATGAACCTCAGGGGGCACTGAGTTTATGTGAATGAGGGAGGAACAACTCAGAGGAGGGTGAGAATGGTCACACAGCTGGAAGAATGTGACTAGTGTCACTGAAAGGTACCATGTAGAAGCCGTCAAATGGTATGTGTTTTGCTGTGTATATTCTCAACAACATAAATAAAATTTTTAAATTCCATAAATAAAACACCCCAGTGTTGAACAGTACTCGCTCTCCATAAACAGCTGTGTTCTTGCAGCTGTACCGCCTGGTCAAGTAGGGATCTCCCCACTCTGGACACTGTTACTGGGCTTGTCTCCTTTGATGTTAGTTATGTAGGAAATGCCTTCTATTGTTTACAATGGTCTTTGGTTTGGCCAACTCTGATGACTGACGCAGACATGACTAATAAACGTGGCCTGAATACGAATACTTTGTGACCCCTAGAAGGCCAGGAGGATCAGGAAGCGTCCCTTTGGGTCTTAGCCAAGGGAAAGCTAGCGGCAGTGTTTGTAAAAAAATCTGAAAGAACATATGGCTTAAAGACAAAATAAACGGCAAGGGTATCAATGTGGAAAAAGGAACGAACTCTTTTACATAGAGTTTTCGCTGCTCAGTCTCGGGCTCTCTGATGCAGTGCCTCCTGGTCCTACTGCACAGACAACGTGTGCACCCCTTGTCTCAGGCTTCCAAAGAAAGCGGGAGCTGTATGGCAAGTGCCTGATGAGCTGCGAAGATTGTACCTGAATCCACGCCTGCTGCTTCATGTCGCCTTTGTGGGCTTTACCCTCGTAACCTTTGCCACCATACTTCTGACTTTCGCTGATGCATTTCACGTGGTTTTTATAGTCATCGCCCCTTTAAAGTGAGGAAAAAAAATCACACCATTAGATTGACATCTAACGGGACCCTCTGCCTCGTGTGGTCAGCACACTGCTTCCACGTCCCGCATCCTCGCTGGCTGACGTCACAGCTGTCTGCCGCCAACGTTCACATCCTATGCATACAGACTCCCGGCTGTACATGTTTCCTTCCTCCAAATCATTTGATATAAAATCCTTACACCAAATTTTCACCTACTTTTTTTTATACAAAAAGTCTTAAACCAAACTGACTTGCAGTTTCTTCTTTTGTAATAAGAAAATAGATACTGAACAAGACAGACAATTCTCTGCAATCAGGTGGTTTTATTTTAAGTCATAAGAATTTTCCTGAGTTTCCAGCAACATAGCAGGCAATCAGTAACTAGCCGTGGAGTAAAGAGGCGTAAAGTAACCTAACCACATCATGTCACCACAAGTCCAGAATAGTGGGATTTCGATGAGAGAAACCCCAACCTCTCTTGTATAATCTCGAGTTCCACAGAGCTCTTCATGGAAATGCTGGGGGCAGGGTGGGGGACAAGTTCCCTAACCAGACACAACCCAACGTTCCTGTTCTGTAGATCAGGCTTTTTCCAAGGCCTAGCTCTGACCACCCACATCAGCACTTTCCCAAAACTGGAGAAGTCCCTGCTCTTGAGTGGAAAGAAACGGATGCTGACAAACATCACACAGGCACTGCTGAGGACGCTGTGGCCACCTGCCACCCCTCGGCTGAGCCGAGGACACGGGCCTGCACGACCACAGGCCAGCCCGTCAGTCGAACCGAGGACCCTGGGGCCACAACGCAGGCCCTCAGCCAAGCGGAGGACCCTGGGCAGCACAGCCACGGGCTAGCCCCTCAGCCGAGCCAAGGACGCTGGGGCCACATGGCCATAGAGCTGCCCCTCGGCCGAGTCGAGAACACGGGGCAGCATGGCCGTGGGCCAGCCCCTCAGCCAAGCTGAGGAAGCAGAAGGGAAACAGAAACCCAAAGACATTAGCCATCTGCAAAGAACCCACCTTAAGAAATGGTGTGCCAGCAAACCAAGATCTGTCTGTCCCATTCCCGACTCCTCACCTCCACAGCGACCTTGCTTGGCCCCAGCAGCCCCTCAGTGGAAGCAGCTCCTGACCTGACTCATCCTAGTGTCCCGTTTCCTCGGGAGGACTTAGGCTCTGCTTCTACCGAGATCCCCCACGGCGAATGTAAGTTCATTTTCCAGTTTATAAACCCATCACCCCTAAGGAGGATGAGCACACAGCACCCCTGGTCTACCAAAACGGGCTCCACAGCCCGTGAAGCCACGTTCCACACAGTCCCTCCTCTGGGTCTGTAACAACGGGCAACGAGTGACGGTGCAGGCCTGACCAATCTAATTGCTGTTTCCCCTCCCTCAGCTTTTCCGGCTTATTCTCTTTGGCCATTCCCTCTTTTTTACTAGAGGAGAATCTCACGTCTTACGGGGGTCAGTTCTGACTCACAGCGACCCCATGGGACACAGCAGAACTGCCCCATAGGTTTTCTCGGCTGCAATCTTTACGGGAGCACGTCACCAAGTCTTTTCTCCCAGCCTGTTGGTCAAGAGCTGACTGTTACACCATGATATGGTTGTCTGATTGAAAATGTCCAAAACCAGTCCACTTCACCTCACTAAAGCCTAGGATATCAGTCTTTATGCGTTCCATTTCATTTTTGACAACTTCTAATTCTCCTAGCTTCATACTTCATACATTCCATGTTCCGATTATTAATGGACTCCCTTACTCTCCTTTTGAAAATTTCCTTAAAAAGTACCTATTTTTTAAATACTTTTTAAAGATTCAAACCAATTAATGGACCACACAAGAATTTTTGTAAAACCTCTCTCCTCAAATTTGCCTGCTTTAGAGCTTTGTGGGGCCAGGGACATCGTGGGTAGTCTGTTATGTTGTTAAGTGCCGCTGAGTCGTCTCCGACTCCTAGCAATCCTATGTACAGAACCAGCCAGTGCCTGGTCCAGGTGGTCTGGACCCTGTGAATCTGCATTGCTGAGGTGCCCACTCACCAGAAGTCCTGGCCACAGTCGATGCAGGAGAGGCACTCACAGTTCCTGCAGACAGCCACATGCCTCTCCACCTGGACCTTCTTCACGGATTCGCCACAGGCATTGCATGTGAAAAATACCATGTTTCGCTAGTGATTCAGTATTCACGGTCCAAAATAGGGGGCAGGTCTTGTCCTAAGAAAAAAAAAGACAATGATCTTGGTAAGCAGAAACATCTATGCATAAGAATGTTCAGACAGCTGACTTTAAACTAGAATTTCACTAAAGAGCTACAAATGACAGGGTCAATGCTGGTTAGAAATCCTCACGTGAGTAAAATGCTCCTCAAGATTGGTGACACCTGTAGACTCACGCTTGCCACTTACTGCATGCTACACTACAAACTTCCTGTGTGTTCACTTATTTAATCCCCACAACAGCAGGATGAGCAAAGGCTGCGGTTCACCATTCACTGAGGACACTGAGGAAGCAGAGGGCAAGACCCTCAACCACCTGGGTCGACACAGTGGCTGTAACAATGGGCTCAAGCCCAGCAGGGATTCTGAGTATGGCACAGGATGGGCAGTGTTTCCTTCGGTTGTACACAGGGTCACAACCGAGAAACAGAGAGATCAAGCCATTTGCTCAAGGTCACACAGAAGCAGAACCAGGCTGGCTTAGAAATGGAAGAGCTTTTGGGTGCTAAGTGAACTACCTTATTTCTTCTAATAATCTTAAACTACACACACACACACACACACGCACACGTATGAACAGCAGAGAAGCACTGTTACAAAATGAGGCAATTATACAAATAGCCTGGAAATGCTGTCTGACACAGTGTAGGAGGATGAGCCACTTAGGTTGGAAGGCTTTCAAACTACGACTGGGAAAGAGTGGCATCCTCAGAGTAGAACCAACCTTACTGATACGGACAAAATAAACCTTTCGAGACCTCCATCTGCTGATGTGGCATGATTCATATTGAGGAGAAACACCTGAAACATCCATTAATAATCAGAACATGGAATGTACAAAGTATGAATCTAGGAAAATTGGAAGTTGTCAAAAATGAAATAGAACACATAAAGACTGATAGATATCCTAGGCATTAGTGAGCTGAAGTAGACTGGTTTTGGACATTTTCAATCAGACAACCATATGTTCCACTATGCCAGGAATGACAGTTTGAAGAGGAATGGCATGGCATTCATCATCACAAAAGATATTTCAAGATCTGTCCTGAAGTACAATGCTGTCAGTGATAGGATAATAACCATACGTCTACAAGGAAGACCAGTTAATACGACTATCATTCAAATTTATGCACCAACCACCAAAGCAAAAGATGAGGAAACTGAAGATTTTTATCAACTTCGGCAGTCTGAGATTGCCCGAATGTGCAATCAGGATGTGTTAATTATCACTGGTGACTGGAATGCAGAAGTTGGAAACAAAGAATCACCAGTAGTTGGAAAATTTGACCTTGGTGACAGAAATAATACTGGAGATCACATGATAGAATTTTGCAAGACCAACAACTTATTCATTACAAATATCTTTCTTCAACAACACAAACAGCGGTAATACACGTGGACTGCATCAGATGGAATATACAGTAATCAGACGGACTACATTTGTGGCAAGAGGTAATGGAAAACTCAGTATCTTCAGCCAAAACAAAGCCAGGAGCTGACTGTGGAACAGACCATCAACTGTTCATATGCAAGTTCATCTTGAGGTTCAAGACAATTAAAACAAGTCCACAAGAGCCAAAATATGATCTTGATAATATCCCTCCTGAACTTAGAGACCATCTAAAGAATAGATTTGATGCACTGAACACCAATGACCGAAAACCAGAGGAATTGTGGGATGACATCAATAACATCACCCATGAAGAAAGCAAGAGTTTATTAAAAAAACAAGAAAAAAAGAAAAGACCAAAATGGATGACAGAAGAGACTCTGAAGCTTGCCTTGAACGGAGAGTAGCCAGAGCAAATGGAAGAAATGACAAGATAAAAGAGCTGAACGGAAGATTTCAAAGAGCAGCTCAAGCAGACAAAGCCAATTACTATAATGAAATGTGCAAAGACCTGGAGTTTGAAAACCAAAAGGGAAGAACATGCTC